TCTCTGTAAAGAAAGAAAATTTGTGCAGAAAAGATAGATTTTCTTTAAATCTCCTTGATATTTGTTGCCGATTGGTTATATGTAGTATAAAGCTTGCTTGAGAGCAAAGGTTTTTGTATTTAAAGTGTTTTCTTGTATGTGTAAAGCTGGCTTCTCTTGTTTTTCAATAAAATTACCAAAAAAGGAATCTTTTAAGAAAACTGGGGATCAGCGGAAAAGTGAAAATAAAGATTTTTATTAGACAATAAGTTTCTTTAAATTATATATATAAAAAAATCAAGATTCAGAATAAATAAGTTTTTCAGATAATTAGAAGAGGAAAGGATATTTCAATTGAATATTTCTTATTAAAAAGAGATTTTGAGAAATAAATTTTTGAAAAAAGTTAAAAATTTTTATTTGTTTTTTATTTTTTTATTTTTTATAATTCATTTAAATATTTTTAAATAATTTTTTTTTTCAATTCATTCTTTTGCAATTTTTTATATTTCAGTAAGTTAATAATATATATAATAATAACAATTTACTAATGATAAAATAATAAATTAGAAGAGTATTTATTCAAAGATTACTATGAATAAAATAATATTCCTAAGATTAAATTTAAAAATTATTTTAATCAAGTTGCATAATAATATGACTTCTGATCTCCTTATTAATGACTAGGCTAAAATAGATCTATCGTGAGGATTGCATAAAGAAAGGTCTCTAGTTTAATTATATGATTTATGCCTGTATATTCTCTTGAACTGAATAGAAAAAGAAATTCTAGAATTCTACTTTTAAGATTGTAACAACCATCTGAACATTATATAATTCTTTTATCCTGGTAGTCTTCAGGATCACTAACCATTCTAGCTTGTAATATACTAATTTTATACTTGTTTAAATGAAGAACCTGTCAAATATGACTTGTCTATGATACTATAGGTGATAACAAAGAAAATAGAAATTCCTTTTAAGATTCAAGTAAAAAATATCAAGGTATTTGAGTAATTAAATTAATTCTTGAGAATTTAATCTAATATATAAATTAGTATAATATAAGATCAATAGTAAAATCTATTAACTATATCAACATTTCCATTTATGACTATTATTAATTACTAGCCCTTAGTTGGATCTACCTCATTTTCAGAGTAAAAAGTAGGCCTAACTAGGACAACTGTGATAGATTATCATTAATCTGCATATATATAGTAATATATAGTTTGTACAAAATGATTGATATTATGTCAAAGAATACAAGTATCCAAGTTTTAAGTTTATTCTTTATAAAAGACTTACATTTAATACCAGTTGTAATTTTTTTAAAAAAAAATTAAAGATTATTTTATTTATAACAAGTTTATTAGATTTGATAAAAATGTTTAAATGTAATATATATTATACTGCTCAAACAAAAATATGCTTGTATTTTCAATTGATTAATAAACTATGATCTAATTTAACTATGGATACTAAAAAAAAAAATAAAAAAAAATCTCAATAATTATAACAAATAAAATTAAACATAGAATAAATAATAAAGTGATTTGCAATAAAATTAATAATTAAAAGGATCTTTATCCAAATTACTAATAGAATATGATGTCAATTTAACTTAAATTCTATATATATAATGCTTGAATATATTTTACAAGTTGTAAATAATATAAATAAGTATCTAGATATCTAGACACGCCATAACGGCATGAAAATATTAACGAAATTAAAATAATGCTTTGATTACAAGAAAAATATTTTCATAATTAAAATAACTCCAAGTAGTTATCTTCTTTATTGTACTAGTAGTCACAATATATTATTAGTGTCATAAAAGTTAACGAGTTTGATTATCATTGAATAAAATGAAGAAACATGTTACCACTGGTTTAAGTTAATTAACTGGTTATACTCTCGCAGCGAAACGTTATATGAAAACGTTCTTTCCGTCAGGCTTTTAGTTCTGTATTTTCTTCCGCAACCGCTTCCTGCATCAAATCTCCCAGGGATTTTTCAAGCGTGTCGATCCGTGAACCCATTTCATCCACTGGTTAGATGTTTGAAAATTATTTCACGAAAAATTTAATAAGGATAGTCGTTATATGTAAAAGCTTACTTTTTTCAATCAGCAGCGATGAAAGATCATCAAACTTTGTTTGCTAAGGAGGAAGTACGGTGTAAGAACATTATGAAGAGTCAAGCATGCACATTTATTTAAATATACCAGTTGTTGAATGACCGTCTCAACCTTTAATAAGAAGAAATGTAAGTGTTCGCAATGGAAAGAAAACGAGAATAACTAGACTTACGTATGCAGTTAGTTCTTGAGGTGATTGTATATCTGTATTTTCGTTATTCGCCAGAGATTCTGGTTGTGAAGACATTTTGAATCAATACTCGGACTAATTGCAATTACGAACGTTATTCCGATACAAATTCCGCGCAGTTTCTTTTTTTGGAACAATCAAATTGGCACGTGATTCAGAATGCTTTTACGCACTTACGTATATTATTTTTGAAGGCGACCAAAATACTAAACAGTCTCCATTTTGGATAATTACGTATATAATAGGGTCCGAAAAATCACTGTCCGCCTTCGAAAGTAATTACCCACATATCACGTATTTCATTGTATTGAAATTTGTGTCATTAATCAAAGAACGCCAGCTGATTGTATTTAATTTAGTTTAGTGACCAGTATATATATATATATATATATTATAAAGTAATGTGAACAATAATTTTGGTGAATGTTAAAGGAATAATAATAATTACAGATAAAAAAAGTTTTTCCAGGAATATCAAAGAGTAATAAAATTTTCAAGTATATAAAGATGTATGTATAAAAGATATACAGAGAAAATGAAAAAAAAAAAAGTAATATGTATAAATGTTATGTATATAATAATCAGGATATATTCCTTATAATTGTAAGAAAATATGTATGCGAGGTATGTATAAAATAAAATATAAAACAAAACAAATGTAATCAATTAATATAAACTACAATTTAAATAAAAAAACAAAGGCAAAGTGTGTCAGGGCCGATGAAATGTGAATATAATAGACATTCGAAGTGAAGAAAAAGAAAAAAGAGGCACAACCTTTACTTGTGCAAGTCCGATTATATTGCTACTTTGTTTCTCGTCTACCACCGTTTTCTACAGTGTTCTTTTCACCTGATAAAACAAATAAAAAATTACAATCGATAAAATCTATCCGTTTGAAGTTCATTCGTTAATTATCGAGAGTTTTATTTGTACCATCGATACTTCGATTTTCACCATCGTTCGTTGCTCCACGTGAAACCGCGATCGAAGGACTTCCAGAAGTGTCTGAAGCCGAACCTGTAGTCGATGAAGAATGGCTAGAATCAGATGAGGATGATCTAGATTTATTGCCGGATCCGTGATTCTGCTGGCGTTGGATGTGCTGATGAGCGTGATAGTTGTGATTATTATGTTGATGATTAAGTTGATGCACATGATTATTGATATTATGCTGTCCAATACTTGAATTATTTGATTGAGAATGATTGGTAACCATCACCCAACTGCCTTTTCTCGTGAGCTCGGTGGATGGAGAACCACTTCCATTCACAGGATTGGTAGATACTGAGGATAATAATGATGAAGGTCCATTCCCACCATTACCATTCCCACCATTCGAAAGACTACATCCATTCCACGAGGGAATGGATCCACGTCTCACCAAACCAGAACCTCCTATATTTTCAGGAGCAACCGTTGATATCGATGAAGATACATTATTGTGAAGTCCGAGGTGACGAGGCAACGGTGGTAAGACGAGTGACGCTCTACGAGCGTAACCCAATGCGGCAACTGCAGCAGAATTTGTGACACTACCAATAGCGGCAGGATTAAATGATATGCTCGAGGACGGAGGTGGTAAGGTTGAGACCGGCGTGGTGGGCAGCGACTGTGTTGATGGAGGTGGGTATGCCGTATAATGATAAGCAGACGGTGTTGGATATTGGAATAAATTTGCAGGTGAATCGTGGGACATTCGCCTCATAAGATTCGTAATCTTATGAGTGGGCGATGGGGTTACCAAATTTTGCGGACCACCTCTACCATTAGAAGATATTGATGACGATGGTATTGATGTTCCAGGGTAATAAGGAGAGGGTGCTGCATTTCGATAAACATGTTCTTCGGGATTCATTGGCTTAGGGGATGAATGTCTTTGATGATATTGATGCAGATCCTCTGACAAATCCCGCGCTCTACTCAGTAAAGAACCGCTGCTATTAGCACGTTTTATGGTAGAACCTAAGCTCACCGAACGATGATGCTGTGATTGGTGGTGAGGATATTGTTTGTGTAAATGGTGGTAATGTGGATGGTGTGTGAATGGAGAGTTCATAGGTGAGCCATTTATTGAGGGAGGATGTGGTCCACCTAAAGTGGATGTAAATGTGGAAGGTGATGATCCTGGTGGTGGTGTTTTAGACAAGTGTGTCGAATATTGTTGAGGAGATGATGTTAATGAAGATTGATATGGAATGTTCAACGATCTTGTTGAAGAAAAACTATTCTCTCTTCTATGACTACGATAATTCTCCGATTGCTCTTCTTCTTTTATTGCTTTCGATCCCCCTCCTTTGCTTGTGTTTGAGTCATCAATAGAATGCAAACGCCGCGTTCGTTTATATTGTGCATTGTTTTTATCCATTCCTGAATCCCATCTATTGACGCCAATCCCATTTGGATATCGCATATTTTCGTATATGCTCCCACCTTGTCTCGATCCCTCTTCCATTGTCCAATGTTTGAGTAATTGATCGCCATAACGTTGAAGTTCATCCACCGTAATTGCTAGACGAAAGTCATTCAGTATAAGAAATTCTAATTCGAGCTGATTCAATTCCGAAACCGGTAGCCCTCCCACCTATTGAATAATGGAAGGAAAGAAATGTGGCAGATATCCAAAGGAATTTAAAAACAAAAAAAAAAAAAAGATATATTAATCCAATAATACGTCGAATAAAAATTAAAAGTAATGTTATATAATTAGTATGATACATAAGTGGCCTCAGGAATACACACACAAGCAATCCATAATATATACATTTACATATATATATGTATGTATATGAACTTTTTTTCTTTTTTTTTATAAAAATGATACACATTTGTACTATATATTCATTCCACCATTCAATAAAACATGAATCGGGACGAATTCACATTGCTGAACTTGGTATCTCCAAATTTCGTTTTACCAACGAATCAAGAATTTGGATCTATTAACTTCTGCGTAAAAATAATGAAATCATAATGAGCCCTCAAAGTTATATAGTTTAGGAGATTGCAAGGGTATATTTTTGTCATCTGGCCAATTGAATTCTGTTGAGTAAAAGGAATGAAGATTCCCCCACTATCATCATACTAACATAAAAATAAACATCATGTTACACTCTTTGTTGCTTCTTGCTAATCTCTTACCATACCTTTGCGTATCTCGAGTTTGTGAAGAATACGTCGGAAAAGAATTTGGAGGACACCATGATGCCGGCAATTATCAGACGATGAATGTTGAAAGAGTCGATGGAAAACCTTTTCCCCGAGTTCGATGCAGAGGCATTCTTTGACATCCGATCAAAATAGACTAGCAGAGAAAGGAAACATTCGTTTGTCGTTGGACAATACTTTAATATCCGTGAAAGATAAGAGTGGATATCTATTGAAGGGATGGAGCGTGCGTGAAAACGCGTAAAAGACGGGGTGGTGGTAACTGCCGTTGAAGAAGACGAAGACGTTTCAGAATGGCTAACGCTATGCGACGATTTCAGTTGGTCATTGGCGCTCGTAATCTTTTCCAACAGCGAGGCAAGCATCTTGAGGGTTTCGGTAACAGGAAAATTAGCCAAATCCAGTTTGTGCATCATGAATACAAATGTTTTATTTTAATCTCTTTCTAATGTGGTGACTACAAACTACTTGAACATAAGTTAAATAGACGATTATTAGTTGTAGGTATAAGATGTAATATTGATGGATTGTAAAAAAAAAAAAAAAACACTAGCGAGTTGGTGAGAAGAAAGTTTTCTATTTAACCAATAAAATTGTCTTTTACCTGGCGTCAACATATCACATACGTATACATTTTGACCATCCAGTTACCGTATTACAATATAAATAGCTATTCACAGTTGACATTAGAATTATTAATTCGTATAAAACAAATGTATTAAAATAAATACAAAAATTTTTTGATATGAATTATTCAATATTAACTTCATTTCTTTTTTTTTCTTAACGTTTATTTGTTTACTTATTTAAAAATTTTTTAATCTATTTTTTTTTTTAACTATAATTTAAATCTTATTGAATTTTATATTATATTAAAAAAATAAATACAAATAATTTTAACTTTATAATAATTTGATTTACTATTACAAAATAATTTATCTTGTATAGTTACCTATCAAGAGATCAGTATTAATGTTTGCTAAAATCTATTAAAACTAATATTTTATACAATTATATTATAGCATATTATATTTTATTTAAAAAATTAAATAAAACTTATAATAAAAAATTTTTTATAGTAACTTGACTTTAATAATAATATAGTTTTCAAATCTATAATATTTATTTAAGAAAGTATACTTTTTTCAAAAATAAATTAAACTTTTAAGAGATTTTTTATTTGATAATTATTATTAATTATATATGCTTTCTTTTTTTTTTATAACTACAATGAATATTTGATATGGGCTTTTTATTGATAATTAAATCTTAAGCATAATATCAATTATCTTATATATTATATTATATATAAATTAATGTTAATCTATCTTTTTTTTTTTTTTTTTTTAACCTGTAATCATGCTACAATGGCATGTCTTTATTGAAAAATTGAAATGAATTTACAATATTTTATAAACTTTCACAAAATAACTAATTCATCTTTATACAAAAGTACTTTAAGTCAAATTTTAAAGATAATATTTCACTTCTCTAATAAATTAGTAATAACCTCTATCTATCAAGATTATTGTCAATAGTTTGTTACTATTAATTGTCCGAAAATCAATAAATTGCTAAGTTAAAAAAGAGAAAGGGTAAAAATGATTGAAGAAAAGGAACAATTCAAGGTTTATTAAAAAAATTCAAAAATAAAAATAACATCTTTTCAAAAGGAATCTGCTTGATTGGAATAGTTTTTTTGTTTCACTTGAACCTCAGAAAAAATCTTCTTTTTCATCATCAGTGATATCGAACAAGTCAATCCAACTGATTTTTTATTTAAATAAGCACTGGATTGGAATATCTCAAGAAAAATATTTGACCCTTGCTTTTTTCTATTAAAGTTTTGTCACTACTTGAGAAACTTAGGTAAGAAATGGGAGTTTGCAATTCACATTATCCATTACTTGATCTTTTGGTATCATGGAAGTTCTCATTAAGGGACTTAAGCTTTTTTGGAAGCAAACATTTTCAGAATCTTCTTTTCAATTACTAATAATATTATTGAAACATATGAATATGATCAATAGGAACTTGTTTATATTTTAAAAACTAATGTATTTCATGTCAGCCAATTATCTTTGGTAAGGATTTGTGCTATCAAAAATTCAAGGTCAAACTGAAGTAAACAAAATTCTCTAGAAAACCATAAAAGTGATAGCTCTAAGAGACTCACAAGTAACTGGAAGGGGAAAAATAAGTCTTTCTATCATCAAAAACCTGTATATATCTCACACTTCAAAGATTAAATAGACCTTTAGGTACTTTACAGTCAGTTTTTCTTCCTTTGGAAACTTTCTTGCTATTGATATCAAAGGTGTTACTTAATTTTTCTTGGTCACTTGAAGTCAAGTTTTTGAGTAAAAAGGTTTGTAAACAAAAAGGAAAAGGTAGAAGTGACTTTTGAAGTCATATTTAAATTGTTTTAATAAAAGTATTAAGACTTTATTAGCAAATAAGTATAGAAACTTCTTGCAAATATCTTTTTTGTATGTAATCAGAGAATCAGCAAAAAGAGTTTATTTAATGATAATCTATTATTAATAATAGATCCTTAAAGTATTTAACATATAAAATTTCATAAATTACTAATGTTTCTTTTTGAAAAACAAAATTTATAGCTCTTTATTTTAATAGAAACAAAAATTAAAAAATATTATAAAATAAAAAAAAAAATTCTTTTTACTGATCTCCAATTTTCTTAAAAATTTTCTTTTTTAATAATATTTTTGAAAATCAAGAAGCCAATTTTCAATATTTAAAAAATATATAATCTTAAAATAATAATAACTAATTACTAAGCTTCAAAATACTATACCTTTTTATAATAACAATTACAGAATAAATATCAGAAGAAAACTATTATAGTATAGTTTTCTTTATAGAAGATAAAAAACTTCAAGAAAATAATTCATAGTAAGCTTCTGAAAATTCAATCTTAACTTCACAAAACTCTCAATTAGGCCAATACAAATTAACACTTTTTTTGATATTAAGAAAAGTATTGTAAGCAATAATTTTAATTAATAAATCAATTAAAGCTCAGAGTTTATAATATTTAAAAAAATATCCAAGCCTCAATTATTCAACAATAAAGAGTAATATAAATAATACAATAATACTTCATATCTAGGATTATATAATGCAAATATATCACATTTGCTAGTTTGAATAACAACTTATTTATTTTATTTTTTTTTTTTTAAATCGCAACCATGTCATATGGCTTGATCTTTATTGAGAAGTTATATAACTATCTACAATATTACAGATTTTTCACATGATAACTAACTCATCGTTATACCTAAGTACTCTAAGTCAGGTCTAGGTGACAATATTTCACTCCCCTAGGAGATTGATATATCACCTCTATCCACTAGGTTTATTGCCAACAGTTTGTTACTGTAGATTACCCATAAACCATGAATTGCTAAGTTAAAGGGAAAGGGAAAAAAAAGAAATTGGGAAAGGGGAAC